ATAAGGGAGTAAGGCTTCAACATGATGGACATTGCCTGTGTACCAAATACTATTCAGCTAAATTTCCCTATACCTACATGATGTTATGATTTTTTCAGGGAGTATTATGGTTAGCTGAAATGCTAAAAGTTATATTTTTGCCATGTTGTGTGTGTTGTGACATATCTGGGTCTCTGACTGATGGCAGTATTTTTAGCTGGAGCACCATCTTGGCAGCCATCTTAATGGCACTTTTCTCATGTCACCATCTTAGTATCAGTGCCAAAAAAGAAGGAATAGGAGTGACATCCTCCGTGTGTTCATTTTGGATGGATGTAGATTACAGAGATGGAGTGAGAGAATGGTGCTGGCCTGGTATTGTTTCCGGTCTGATTGGCCGTGGTCCAGTTTGGACGCCCTCATTTTTGTGTCTTGTTGGTGGCACCCAGAACCAAGAAGTGGGATTATTCTAATACTGCTATGGCTGGAAGAGAAGTGTGTGTGTGTGTGTGTGTGTGTGTGTGTGTGTGTGTGTGTGTGTGGAGGTGATGGTGGGGTGGTAATGACAGAAAAAGAGGAGAGAGATCAAGAGAGAAAGGAAGAGACAATCCAATAACTAGGGTACAGTGTTGGTTTTGAAAAGCTGGTGTGTGTGTGTGTGTGTGTGTGTGTGTGTGTGTGTGTGTACGTGTACGCGCGCACCAGTTGAAAGCCTGTTATGTTGAGCTGTATTCTGCAGAGAAAAGTGTTTTCTCACAGTAGATTAGCTGAACAATAAGTGATAATCACTATTGTCCTACAGCCCATTGTATACAGCATATTGTGTGTGTATGCTATAATATGCAAATAAATTTAACCAGTTAGGACCGAGTGTCGTGTTTGTTTCACTGGAGCATATTCTATTCTATTCTATTCTATTGAGAAATGTTTCATTTTGTTCTGTGCTGTTCCTATCTCTTCTACTCTATTCTGTTCTGTTTTCTGCTATTCTGCTCTATTCTATTCTGGTCTATTCCATTATACGCTATTATATTCTGTTCTGTTTTATTCTACTCTATCCTGTTCTGTGCTCTTGTTTTTTGTTCTCTTCTACTCTGTTGCGTTCTGTTGTGTTTCGTTTTGTTCTATTGAGTTCTGTCCTTTTCTGTTCTGTTCTATTGTGTTGTGTTTTGTTGTACTGTTTTATGTTCTCTTCTACTTTAATCTGTTATGTTCTATTCTACTCTATTCTTTTCTGTTCTAATACATTCTTTTATGTTCCTTTCCATTTTGTGCTACTCTAATCTACTCTGATGTTTGATTCTTTTCTGTTCTATTCTATTATACTCTATTGTGTTCTGTTCTACTCTACTAATCTATGTTGTTCTATTTTGTTCTGTTCTGTTATACACTACTGTGTTCTATTGTACTCTATTGCATTCTGTTATTTTGTTTTGTCCTATTCTATTCTATTCTAGTCTAGTCTATTCTAGTCTAGTCTAGTCTACTCTATTTGGTTCTGCCTTGTTCTGTGTTAGGATCTACTGTACTTTGTTTTGTTCTATTCTACTCTACTCTGTGCTGTTCTATGTTGTTCTCTTCTGCTCTGTTGTATTTTGTTCTATTCTACTCTATTGTGTTCTGTGCTCTTGTTTTCTATTGTGTTCGACTCTATTACATTCTGTTCTGTTAAGTTTTGTTTTGTTGAGTTCTGTCCTGTTCTGTTTTACTCTAGTGTGTGCTGTTCTATTTTGGTCTGTTATATTCTACTCTATTCTGTTTTTTCCTGTTTTATTTCTGTTCTATTTATGGCTGCAACTAACGATGGAATTGTCTTCATCGCTGATCAATCCATCAATTATCATTTCAGAAAGTGGACTAATAGCTTAACCTATAAACTGTCAGAGAATACGGAAACAAATACCCATCACAGTTTCCCCGAGGCCACAGTGATATCTTTATATTGCTCAGTTATTTTTCCAGTCAAGAGTCTAGAACCCAAAGATATTAAATTTACAACAATATAAAATAGAGAGCGGCAGCAAATCCTCACATTTGAGAGACATATATATGACATATATGATTAATCGTTTATCTAGCTAGTTAATTTATTTTATGTATTTTTTCACCTCTAGTTCTATTTATGAAGTTCAGTTCTACCCCACAAATAGAATCAAACACTATCATGGCTACTTTCTGTCAGTTTGTAATGAGCTAATGTGAGATTAGACATCAGGCAGGAAAGGATCAAATTTCATCATATTTCACTGGAACGACATCTGGTTGAGGTCTGAGCTGATTACTGGAACATCTGGACAGGCTGACTGACCGCCCTGACAGCACACCCAGATTATGTATTATTTCGAGCTCCATTTCCCGCAGTCACCTACAATGGGCACAGGGTGTTTTGCTCAGTGGTGACAGTACAAACAGTGTACATTTATTCTCGGCTCACTCATCTTTCTCATCGTGAGTGACTGAAAACTTCCTCCAGAGTCCCATCGTATTAGAATAACAAAACCAACGGATTTATGTTTGAAATCAGCAGAGAGAGGAGGAACATGATGCAAACAAAACAAGTAAGCCAGAAAAATATAGCCCAGGGGATAGCTATGAAAAATGCAATTAATCATGTGACACTGCTGGGTTGTTGCAGGTAATGATATGTTGCAGGCTGTGGAAAAATTTGACGAGTGTGGTTAAGGAGTCTGTGGAAACTGCAGCGAATGGTACCATTGTGGCATGAAGTATGCTGCAACTGGCAACTTCACATGATTTTGATCAAGCTTCACTCATTTTTTTAGTTGACATACTGTTTACCTCTGCTTTAACACTGACACAAAACAATTATCATCTGGAAGCTGCACAGTTCATATACAGAAATGAAAAGGACACAGGGAATTAAGTGAAGAGAAGATGAAAGGACAAGGAAGTGAAGAAGAAATAAATTTGTGTGATTTCATCATAACATAAAATGTAGGATATGTATTCTATTTCCAATTTCCCGTGTTTATTTGTTGTTGGCAGTCTCACAATCACAAAGGAGAAACAAATAACACAGCCATAGTAACTGGGGTTTGTTTTATGTGTCGGGCGGAGGGGAAGCGATGACTGATTCTTGTACCATAAGCCCAAAAGGAACGAGAGAAACAGAAGTGAGTAAAAACATGCAAACACAAAGGGAAAGAATAAAGGCTCTTTTGGTTTTTTGTTCTCATGACAAGAAACTCGCAGCTTCAAAGTGTCTGTGTCAAAGAGTGAAGGCCAGGCAGGGACAAAGAGCAGGGGAATGTTGGGAGTTCTCCTCGGTTTCCAGCTCTTTGTTTCCTAGATGACAGAAATCAGGTGGTCATGGATTAAATTCAGATGTTGGAGTTTAGTGTGTTATTGACTCAGCTTAAACGCACAGTGTAGTCACAGGACTAACTATCAGAGGGCTACAGAAGGAGGTAAAGGGTTATTATAAGATTGTATTTGATTTTATTTGTCGCATGCAAACCACGGAATGTACAATGAAGTTAAAAAGTGACAAGCATCACAAAAGACAACAGAACCAACGCCAAATAAAGGTTAAAAAAACCCTACATTTTCAGTAATTCAGAAAAACCAGAATATGCAGTATACCAATGCCATTATCGATTCAGGTTATCAGTCCAATTCTCTATCAATCCCCTCATTCATTCCTGATGATAGAAAATATAATGGACGTAGCTTCCGCGACATCACCTATTGGATTGTCGACCACCACTCCGAAGCCTCAAGTTTGGTTTTTGGAGCCAGAAGTGACCATATTTGGGCGAGAGGCTGGCATTGTGGAGGAGTGATGCAGAATTTATACTTCTGCGTTGAATCGACACCGTAGCTACCGCGTAGGCTCTGCGTTGACATGGAGCCTACGCAGTAACCTACGCCATAGCCTGATGTGCACCTCCCCAAAAATGTAACTACATAGGCGTGTGCTAATAACATTAGCATGTTGTATTTGAGGGGAAAATGTGTCCAGATGAAGACAAGTGCTTTGTCTGTGAACACTGTGAGTTATAGCGTAGCACATTTCTGTACTTGGGTTTGAAACTGTCGCTATTAAGCCATGTTTGAAGTAAACTTAACAGCACTTCACAGAAACCTCCGCCGCCGACTAGGGTTTTGGAGGTGTAACTGCAAAGTGACACAGACACACCACCACACAAGTGTAAATGCTCACAACGGCATAGGCGTCGTGCATGGGCTATGGTATAGGGTCTGCCGCACAAGTATAAATCCCGCTTGAGGGTTGGAGCTGACTGGACACTATCATCAGACAGCCTGTCACTCAAAGCGACCTGTTCCTAATTATGCGTAACTTTAAGCCTTAATTAAATGTAACGGGGTGAGTTATGTAAAATTCATCCCCCGTACAGTTGTCATGAAGAATGAAATAAGCTGTTGAGACCATAACAGTTTGTCATACCAGGCTGTAAAAAGAAAGAAGAAGTGGAAAAAGAAGTAGGTCTGCACAGGCTTTCAGCATCAACACAACTGTTTTGTTATCTCTGAGTCAAAACAAAGTGTAGATAAAATGAGAGAACATTTGTACAGCGTTCGCTGATATTGAGGTTGTCTTTGTCAAAAAAAGGTCTGCTAAGCCTGCCTGCAAGCAAAGAGCTTTAAATTAGCTTTCTTTTTTACACTTGTATTCGCTGACTTTAATTGCCTGGTTCACAGAACTGTTGCTGCTGTCTGTCATGTCCTCAACAAGGATTATTTTTAAGCTACACAGCAGCAGTGAGAGTCGTTTAAGTCCTGTAGGTACATGTAACAGAGGCAGTGGGCATACAACCTACTCTTTGACAAGTCCAGTCATACACATTAACTTCCTCCTTAAAGGGCACCACTGCTTGTCTGTTCAAGCAGTGAGGTATGTGATGAGTGTGTGGTGTACAAGCACAAACAGCTGCAAACAAAAACGAGCTGATTCACAATCTCTGTGAACCCGATTCACCTCGAATTACATGTGTTGTTATGTTTTTTGACTCACTTCTTGTTTTTGTGTCTGTGTCCAGGTTCCTACATGTATGTGGACGTCTCTCAGTACGATGTCGGGGAGAAGGCCAGGTTTCAGCTGCCTGTCATGAAGGAGAATGACACTCACTGTATAGACTTCAACTATCTCCTCACCACCCCTGACGGCTCCAGCCCTGGCACCCTCAACGTCCTGGTGAAGGTAATGAGAATGAACGCCATATAATGGAGATACAGTTGTTTATTTGCAATGATTGTATTGGCTCCATGTACATGGCACTACCTTCCTAATAAACAACCTGTCCTTACCCTTTTTTAAAGGTACACTATACAAGAACTGTTGGCTGCTGTTTGTTAACAGTATTGGTAGTGTAAGTAAGTAAAAGCAAAAGCCAACTGTGTGATAATTCGCCTTGCTATATTTGTGTTTTTTGACACTGTGTTTGTGATTTTCATAGCTTCCTTTGGGATGCGTGTTACTTACGGTCTGGCACCTGCTCCCTACCTTTTTATAAAGTCCCGACCTTACCTGAGAGATGTGCCCAGAGCGTCCCAAACAGCAAAATAAGAAGAAAATACAAGCAGAGGGCAGGAGTCTCGGCAGATAAAAACATCGCCCCACACTTCTACTGGGTCATAAGTGATGATTGAGAGGGAAACATTAATTCTTTAAACAGTAAAAGATCATCATAATGTCTTTACAGGCCTCTACATAGCAGTTTACACTGTGTGAGGCAAGGTTTGATGTAACAAGACAAAAGCTGGATCCCAGTATTCCTTTTTTCTTCTTTTCAGAAAACATAAGGTTCTCTCACTCCATAAAACAACTCAAGATGAGTTCAAGTGCTGAGTTAAAGCTCTCTGTTTGTCACAATGGCAGATGGTGAACAGAGTCTCTTCATTTTAAACAAAGCAAAACAGGATTTATGGGAATTGTGGTGCAGATTTTGTGAAATACAACCACAAGTAATGCAATTGGCAAGCGACAGAGGCTGCTGACTGCCTTGCCTCAACCACAGGTTTGTGTAAGGTTGGCTAATTTAGCATTAATGATACATTTTAAAATCAGCATACACACACCTTTGACACTAAGAGTGTCTTTGTTTTTAGATTAAGATGTTATTGTTTGGACATCTATCAAAGTAGAAAGTGTAGAGGACAGACTTAGGATATGCATATCCATCACACATTTTATGATCCAAACTTTTCCTCCACTTTGGTTGTTTCTGCAACACTTCCTCGCCTCTCATCTCCTCTCTCCTCCTCTTAAGTTTTGTTAGAGTTTGTGGAAGTGGTTAGAAAGCACATTAATGGAAGATTGCCATTTTACTGGTTCCACCATTTCCTGGTTCTGAGCAGCAGGGGAGCATTACGAGTTGGAAGGCTGCCCTTCGATCTGATGACACAAAGTCAGTCCCACATTATTGCAAAAATCTCTCCTGCTGAAGTGTTGTTGAGCAAAACAGAGTTATTACCAGCCCAGAGGTGATGGTGAAGCTGAGCCTGACCTATGATCTCCTCATTTTCACAAAAAAAACAAAACAAAACAAGACTTATAGTGTCTTATAATCTATGCCATTATTATTAATTTTGTATAATAGAACAGATGTCTCTCTGAAGGCATCAGGAAATGTAAACAGGGTTTTTCCTGCCCAGAGAATTACGAGGCGACTGAAAACTCAAATTATGTCCTGAACCCAGCTTTCAATAAAACTTTGATGGGTATCTTAATGGAAAACACTTTTCCACCAAGCCTTGCGCTTGGTGGATTTCTGTCATTTGTAACTGCAGTTGTGGCATTACACTGATGTGGTGGCACTGTATTCACTATAATCAGCGCAGCCAAAACTGCTAAAGAGAAAGAAAAGCGGGCACCAGCCCTATGAAGTTTAGTTTTATATTGCCAGCTGGATGATAAAACTCAAACTGCAAATGGCAGTCTGTGTTTATGAACGCAGCTCTATGCAGTTTGGTAAAGCTGTAAAGATATTCACAGATTCAAACTTCCCAGATCAACTCATAAGCAAAATGTTGTTAAAACACAAACGATATGTCTTTCCAACTGCAGTAAAGTAGACAACGAGGTATAACCTAATTTTCATCAAAACAAGGTGTTTTCTAAGCTGGATAAATAATGTTGCTCTCTATGTGCAGTCGGCTGTGAGACGAGTGCGCAGGGACCGTCTGCAAAAGGCATCACCAAAAAGACAGCTAACAACAAAAACATTCAGTAGCTTCACTCCTATGTAGTGTCCCCAGATTCACTTTTATCAATGGTCTTCTTTTACTTTTGCACTTAATTTGGAAAAATGGTGAATTTTGGTGAATTTTTATTCGAAAAATGGATTTAACAACTTTACTTTTATACAGTATAGTGTCACCAAATTCAATTCATACACATATAATTTGTAGAACTCCTAAAATAGTTTTTAAAGTTTTTTAAAAAGTGCTTGGACCAGTTGAAGCCACGGCACACATGTACGTGTGTGCACATGATCAGGATGGTACCACCTCCTCCTTATTTTGAGCCAGGAAACACCCTGGTAATTGACTGTATTTAATATGTATTATATTGTGTTCTGTGTTTTTCTAGGTAAACAAGGGTCCCTTGGCCAACCCTATATGGAACGTGACATCCTACACTGGTAAAGACCTGCTCCACTCAGACTCATATTTCATAACTTACTCTGATACTACTGGTTTTATTCACTTGTGCTGACTGTGACGTTGTCTTTCAGGTAAAGACTGGCTGAGAGCGGAACTCGCCGTCTCCACCTTTTGGCCTAATGAATATCAGGTAACTCCCTAAGTAATAACTAACGGCTGTGTTAATGCATGATTCTTTTATCATGTAAATCCTTTATTTCCACTCGTGTTCATGTGAATACACTAACACCACACATACACACACAGACACAGACACACACACACACACACACACACATACACACACAGACACAGACAGACGCAGACACATGCTGGGAGGCAGGCAGCTGATTTATTTGTGTTGACTGAGGCTCAGGAGGTGACGATTAGGCTAGAAAGACACTGAAAAAATAGGTGTGTTTGTGTGTGCACATGTGTTTGTGTGCATGAGGGTGTGTTACCGTGCTGGACATTGATATTGTTGTTGTATCTTGTTTTATTTGTATTTAATGGTTACCTGTCTGGCAGTATAAGAGTCACAGAGATAGAAATGCTTGCAGGAGCGTTGAAGAAAATGTTTGCTTGCATGTTTCTTATTTTTTTTAATTAATGTCCGTCAATCAGTGTGATCTGTGTGTGTTTGTGGGCTAGTGTTGACAGATGTGTGCTCGTTGTCGGATAGCTTGTCTCCGAGCGTCCTAGCAGGCATACACACACACTGATCATGTTAACACACACAGCCTGGGGACCCTGTAATATTACTGCAAGGCGAAGTGTGAAAGCATCCTCCAAATGGCCCATCTGGAGCCCAGTCCCCCTCAGTGACTATGGGCGGAGATCACCAGCATGAAACTCGTGTGTCAACATGTTTTAATTGAACATAATCATCCAGGTTTGCTGAGGCTTATGTTGGTTTTTCAGGCTCTGAAACAGGTTATTGGATTTGAGGTTATGAAGCTATTTTTTTCATGTTGGAACATGTTTCTGTGTTAGCACTTTAGCTGAAGTTGTAATGAGACTGGTTTCACCAGGGGAAGACAGGCACACGTAGTCACTCACACACACTCGCACAGGAATTGATGCGCACACTAAATGAACACACACACCCACGCAGCACTTCTTAGATAGACCTTGTAATTACAGTTTTATCTTAATGTCATGTTTGTTTTGAATAAATACTGGCTTTTAGTTGATGAGTGAGGTCACCAACTATCACCAGACAGCAATCCGGTTTAACAACCTCAGATTTTTAGAGCAATGAGTCGATTAATTGATTAGTCAGTTGACAGAAAACAGTACAGTACAGTATTTTGATAATCGCTTAATCATTTCAGTCATTTTTATCATCAAAAATGCCAAAATTTTCTGGTTTCAGTCTCTGAAATATAAAAATTATTCTAATATTCTGTTTTTCATCCATCATATATTATATTAAACGTAATATCTTGGGGAGTCTTACTCCCAACTTATCAAATACCGACACTTGGTCAATGGCCCTCTGCGTCAGATACTGATGCACAGAGGCACCCTTTAGCTGCAATGTGAGACCCACTGGGTGGCAATATTTTTTGACGTTTCGAGCAACTGCCGTAGTATAAAGAGCGAGAAAATCCGCATCGGATGGGCGGAAGTGTAGGTGAATGGGTCGAACATTCTCCGGACTTTCACCAGGGAGACCACCGTTTGTGTCCCAACTTGTATTAAAAACACTGTTGTTTGCTAGTGTGTAGCATGTGACTCTAGCGACATATGTCTACATGACCTTAGAAACAAAAAATGATGTTGTCTAAACCTGACCACATGCTGCTGTTGCTTAATCGTACGGAAGTAAACCTACGTTCTGTGTATCACTGTGTATTTAACAAGCAGAAACTGTATATTTCCTGTGAAACAGAAGATAGTTTTGAAAAGGCACATTGCATATAATGAGCTTAAATTGACACGCTGCCCGGTGCCTTTCATACTACCGCTAAAGCGTGCCTCGATATCTGACATCGAGGGTCACTGACTAAGCATCAGCATTTGAAGAAAACAAGACTTTTGAAGATGCTATTGTAGAGTATGGGCAATATGGTAATTTTTGACATTTCATGGACTAAATGTTGAGTCAGTAATGAAAATAATTATTTGTTGCAGCCCTTCATTTTATTTTTTTATGAATTTTCAGGATTTGTGGCTCTGGCAAGATTGTGTTTTTCCATCACTATTAGAAATGTCACTGCTGTTTTTTGGCAGTTTTAACATGTATTGCCTTCAACTTCGGGTTATTTAAGTACAACTTTCTCACAAAGATATAAAAATAATGATGAAGTTTAATTACAAAGTTTTTTGAAAAAGCCCTAAAAGCAGATGACTCACGACTCAAACTATAACATGGAGTGGAAAAACACTCCTCGCCTGCATATTGAAAAATGTTTGATTCAGTGCCCATACATGCATACATCAAAATGATATAAGCCATTAGGAGATAAGAGGATGTTCGCTATCGTTCCACCCTCACTCTGGAGTGATGACATGTCAGTCTTCAGCCTTCGGCATATCAGAGTTGCTTTGCCCATGTGAGAAGTTGTTAACCTGAACTATCAGTAATCCTTCCTCACACTGATGAGACCAGTCACCTGCATTATTGAAATACTATCTCCTCAGAGCTGACCACCATTGCACCCATGAGTCACAGAATGCAAAGGGTCTTACAGCTGATAATGAAAGTCTACAAGGAAATAAAATGAGCAATGACTTTCATCCAGGCTGCAGTGACCCAAGGCACTTTGGAAATCATTTAAAACCCACTTTTTGAAATACATTATCATTAACAGAGCAATAGACGTGACACTTGAGTCTTGGACTTTGCTTTTAAACCAAACATTTGTCTTTGTGTCTGAGAGGTGAAACCAAAAGGAAGTGCCTTAAACCTGAAGTCTTTCTAATGGCACAGCAGGGAGGGACTACACTAGTTGTCTGATTGTGTAGACAAATCAGAGGAAGTAACAGAAGTAAGCTAGTCACCATTACTGCCGTGGCATCTCCCTACACTGCACGCACGTTTGAATGCAAGCTGCCTTTAAGAAGTGTACAGTTTTCTACTTTGACCTTCACTCTCTATGTAACGTTACTTTTGACAACACCGAAAAGAACCTGTGCAGTTTGAAGCTGCTCCAGCAGTAGGATAAAACTGATTGTCAAACAAGTAACATCAGCTAATTTCACAATGCTAAGGTAGCTAAAATAACATTACTATCAAGGGCCTGCGGTTATGCTGTAGGGTGTGGCTATCTTCTGATTGACAAGTCGCTATCATGGTGGTGTCCTCGGGTTCTCAGTCAGATCCACCCCTTCCTCCTCCACTCTCTCATCTTAAGCCCTTTTTAAATAGGAATTGTGCAAATTTGCAGGAAAGCCCAATCAGTCTTTTTTCAGCATTGGCAGTATAAAAACAAAATCGAACAGAATGTGCCTTTTTCGAGGCAATGGGGGCGTGAGCAAGTAACAAAACGTGTAGCTCTGCGTGTGACGTAAACAGTGACATGAGAGGGAAGCCGCGGCTAATCAGTCCTTCGGCGATTCTCCTAAGTCGTCCCGTTCTTCACCGTCCCTGTCATCTGACAGTTAATGGCCTCTACATTTGCGAGGGCAAGGAGGGCGCACAATTCTTTGTCTCCCCAGTTGCTCATCTTTACAGTGTCTGTCAGGTTTGCGTTTCCCTCTTGGCTGCTATGAGCTGCTCGCTAATTCCTGCTATCAGCTGTTTCCTGTTTATCCACCACCAGTGGCTCGCACGTGCGGCGTCATCAACAGCTCCTCCCACAAGTCTTCAACAGTCCCTCCCATTGCGGAAGGCCACCTCAGTCCTTTTAAACTAAAAGGGTTCCACCAATATGACTACCCTATGAGGCGGAAAATTGGGCACCTCCGATCAACTCGCCAGTCCGGCTCTGTGTGTGTCTAAATTCTTGCAGCTGGCCAGGAAAATGGCCCAACATTCGCGGAAAATCTGGCAGTGTAAAAGGGGCTTTAATGTGGTAATTTCTGGCCCCCAAAACCAAGATGGTAGCAACCATCGTTTTGTTAAATTTTGCGTTTGCGGATTCAAACTACTGAGAAAGCCTAAAACTGACTACGTTTACGTGCACACAAATATATCATTGCAATATTCAGAATTTATTAAAGGTAAGGTAAGACAACACATTTACATGTTGTTTTCTATATGTTCTCTGACATTTATCCTAACGATATGAGGCGGTCTTTGTGGAAAAAAGCTTGTTTAGTGGACTAACTTTGCACTTGAAGGGATGCCCATCCACTTACGTTTTAACAGGTCTGACACTACTATGCGCCCCGGCTGTATCTAGGCTAACGGCTAACATGCTAACTATTATTTTTATGTCACTAGTCACTTGAAACAAATTTAGGACGATAGGAGACAGGTTGAAATAAACCGAAATTTCCCTTTAAAGTAATATAAAGAGCATATTCCTTTTGGTTATTCCAAACCAGGCCTTATTGTGAATGGTCCAGTGTGAAGGATTTAGGAGCATATATTGGCAAAAATGGTATAATCTTCATAACTATGTTTTTATTAGTTTATAATCACCTGAAAATAAGAATGGTTAGAAGAAGAAACACACCTACTTTTAAACATTATGAAAGACTTGCATTTCAACAGGTATCTGGATATGCACAAATATTGCAACACAGACCTTTTGAAGAACGTGGTTGAAGGAATAAAAGAACGAGGCAGTGTTCACACAGTTGGAACAAGTCTGCCACCAGTGGTGAAAGTCCGGAGTTTGTTTGACCCATTCACCTCCACTCCCGCCCATCATGGATTTTCTTGCTCTTTCACTGTGGTGGTTGCTCAAAACGTCAAAAATGTTGCCGCCCAGTGGGTCTCACACTGCAGCTAAAGGGTGTCTCTGTGCATCAGTATCTGACGCAGAGGGCCATCGACCAAGTGTTGGCATTTGACAAGCTGAGAATCCTATTTCGATGCAAAAAAGCAAAATGGCACAGGTGGCTCCAGCGGTTCCACTACTCCATATTTTAAAGTGATGTATGTCATGTTAGGGCATGCTATGAACGGCTGCATGTAAACAGGAATATTGGTGGAATATTCCTTTGGAATTAGCCATGTAAACAGCTTAGTAGGAGTATTGTCTTTCGTGGAGTAAGGGCAAGAATCTGATTAATGTGTGAATGTAATCGTGTCTACTGGTCTGCAGCTACTCAGGAATATGTATGAAGCTGATTTGTGTACGATTGAAGTTCTTGAGCTTTAGGGTAGCAGTCTCATGCTGAGGAGGTGTTTATTTAACCTCTTCTTGAAGGCATGAACTCCACTTGATGTGATGTCTCCGATGACAGCAGGGGTTTGGCTGTTGCATGTTGTTACAGCAGAGTGAAGAAAGCTCCTCTCAAGAGACCTGAAGGACTCAGAACTGACTTGCAATTTGCTCATGACTTGGACCAGGCCTCAAGGACTCGAGACTTGATGTGACAAATCATGAGACTTTAATTGGACTCACCTCAACTGACTTCAGGCTTGCGTTGAGCTCTGGTTTTTATTGATAAAGTCAACACTTTGTACAAAAATGAACTTTTCAGAAAGCTTAAATTTATACACTTATACACGCACACAAAGAGGAGAAGTCGTGAGGTCATGTTACGGCTACCAGAACAAACGTGGCTGTAATAACAAGCAACGATCAGCAGACTGCAGGCGGACAGGCGAGCCGGTCTTCAGACAAACAGACAGACAGAGATGAAGGTATTAAAAGTCAACTGATGTCTTTCCGCTGTGTTCCGCAGTGAGCTATGAGTGAAAGATGATAGGAGAGAGAGACAAGACGGATTGGAAGGGGAGGGCGACGGAGAGGGGGGAGAGTGTGACAAGCAGGGGATGATAAGCTATGGGTAAACAGTTCATGGCAGATTTCCTTTTACAGGTGATGAATGACAACAACTGCTCACCCCCTCACTCTCTTTCTCCCTCTACCTCTCTTCTTGATAGCGACCTCCTCTCCCTCTGTTCATTACAGCACACCTCTCTGAGTAAACACTGTTAGAAAACAGAGACGGCAAGCGAGAGACGGAAAGAGAGGAGTTGGGGGGGAGAATGGCTCGAGAGAGGGATGATGATGGGAGAAATAAAGAGAGGAGGGAGTTGGAGGGGTAGCGTATGGACAAGGAGGAGGGAGGGAAGGAGAGATAAACAAGGAGAGTAGTTATTCAGACAATGAGTTGATGAAACGAGATGGCGGTAAATTGAAGCACCTGTTGAATGCAGTATTAATTCTCTACTTGAAATGAAGAATTTAGAGAAGTGGGTTAGCATCAGACGCAACAGCCACAGGTATAAAATCACATCTAAAGCGCGTAATTTGACCATCTGCTTCAACATTTTGCTCCTTTTCTCAATATTTGGCATTTATTTGACTCACTATTCCCTCTCTATGTTTTTGGTGAGTTGAAATACAGATAATGGATGGAAAAGAAAAACAAATAGATTGGCTCCAAACCCTTCATTCTCCACCTTGCCGCGTTTGGTTTCATTACATATTATCATTTCTGTGGCAGCCATTTTATGTGTACCAAAGAAGATTACTGTGATCCAACAGGAAGTATCTCATTTATCCTTCCTGGCTTGTTGGCCTGAATGTATAAATCCAGCAGCAGTCTGGATGGCAGCTTTGTATTTATCCAGTTTAGTGCACATCACTGGCGGCTGTCACTGACTTTCTATCTATCCTGTGACAACTTAGATTGGATCCGTCACATTTACAGCAAATTTAAATAGAAATAGTCTTACTTTGTAACTTCCACTGCACCCAGAATGCATCTAAAACTTATGATTTGGTGACGATACTAACGAGGGTTGATGATTTGGTAACAGTGCCGTGGAGGGTTTGTGATAAGCAAGGAGTCTTTTTGCTAGTTGTAGTGCAGCACTGTTCCTAAATGTTCTCAATAAAATGTTGAAACTGAGAAGTTTAGACTATGGGCCCGAACGACGCATAGTGCATCCAAATTCACACCTGTTCTTCTCTGTGGATTTTCTCCGCGACCGTGCGTCCTAGCGAGAAACCACGCATATCAGCGGAAACAGCAGAATTGTCGGTATTCCAATGTTTTCACAGCGAAAAATTACAATAAAATGATGTGTAACAGAGCTTTCATACAGCTTTGCACAAACATTACTCTTGGATGGATTACTCGCGAACGCAGGCTCACACAGAAATGCCACGCACATCACGTGAAAGCGCAGGACCACACACATCACTGTGCTGTCATCCCATCACGCTCTAAATACAGATCAATTGTCTACAAAATAAAAACCTGACGAATTTCTTTACAGCCCATTATACAGATCTTGTTATCAGTCACTTCATATAGTGAGGAATATCGTATCTTACCACGTCTTAGGCTTGCGTGTGTTTCTCCCTGTCTATCCACATTTGTAGTCCAGCTTTCAAGATGCAAATATCTCCATATTGTCCAGTTGACACTCCATCAAACTTTGTATGACAAGACCAGCTTACTTAACCTTTGCGCACCCAGACAACTGCAGCCTAACTATACATGCTGACAGGGCCGTAGTCACCATATACATTGAGGGGGACACGTGCCCCCCCACCAATGCCCAAAATGTCTCCCCAATATATAACTGAAACTGAAAAACAAATATTATCTTGGAGGACATCATTGCACTTGGTTGACTATTTTTCTATGATCTTAGATGTAAATATTGCATGTTTCTTTCAGATAAAACACATTTTTGACTTGTGAATGAGTCAATGGAATTTCTTGCAATAATGAAAAAATACTGGCAATCATTTTCCGCCTGGCACAAACCACATGTTTTGGACAACTGTGAAGTGACAGAATGTCCCAACATCATGGTTCTTATATTGCCAGATTCCAGAGAGTCTCCCCTCTTCATATATGGTAGAATATGTCTTTTTCCAAATTGCTATGCTGAGATACATGTAAAAATGTAAGAATTTAGGCACACAGATTTGTTTTTTTTTTCATTGATATAAAAATTAATATAAAATACAGGCACATAGAAGGACATGAAATGATGGCAAATCTGGATAGCCCAGATTGTCCTGAAAAAAACAAGATATAGCATGTGTATGTAGCCTTTATAATGACTGTGATATGAGCTTAAAAGTAAAGGCAGTAAAAATACCCCAAAAAAAGGCCTAGGGCCCATAGGGTTAAAAAGTACCGAAATAAGGTACCGTTTGTTACCGGCACCGAATTCCAGATACCGGTACCGGTACCGTATCGGTTCAATTATGAACGGTACCCAACCCTACTCGGAATAGCATTTTTCAATCTGTTTTCTGGTGTTGTGTTTTGTATATTTTGTTTATGCTCAGACTCGTTCTGTTTACAGGTGTATGGAGGGTCAGAAAATACTTGACATTATAATAATCTATTCCTCTGAATGCCCAAGGTCTCCAGTTTATGGTTGTAAAATTTATTTAGGATGTGTGATTATCCTACAGGTCACAATAGGTAATTTTACACAGTAATGTTGTCAAAAAAATGGTCTCACCCCCAATGAAATGGCTACTATGGGGACTAATATCATCATACATGAATACAGTTGCGCTCATTGAATCCCCAAGAGTCTCAGCTTTCTAGTCATGCCCAATTTATGCAATTCCAGCACTGTTTAGGGACCTCAGTATGCAGAAATATTCAAATACAAAAGGCGAACATAACACGCTTATACTGCATGCAAAAAAAAAGTCATGTTTTTTGCCCCAAAGTGAATGGGACTTGCATAAAGTGGGCTTATCTGTAAAGGGGAGACTTATAATCCATTTTCATTCAGATATCTTGATGTGAGAGTTCAAGGGACCCCTGATTCTAAACATCGGAGTGTTATTTCCCAACAAGTTTTCTTCACTCTATCTTTAAAACTCAGCCTAAGAAAAAACGTGAAGTTGGCTGAGGACGGTGGCGTCCTAGTAGAGTGGATTTATTAATTTAAAAACAATATGCCTTATAATATTGATAGTAATGAACAGTTTTAACTAAATCTCTCTCTCTTTTTTCTCAGGTCATATTCGAAGCAGAGGTTTCGGACAGCAAAGCCGGCTTCATCGCCATTGACGACATTCAGGTGCTCAGCTACCCATGCGGTGAGTCATTAGCATGCCAGCAATTAGTCCTAGTTCGCTGAATAGACGCTGATAGCTTTGGCCACTAATTAGACTGTACCTGGGATGGTTTCTGTTGCACTTGAATGGGTAGATAAGTGGGAAGGTGACACAGGAGAGGAGGGATGCAGCGAGAGGAGAAAGAGGGAAAAAAAAATGAGAGAAATAAAATGGGAGAGGGAGAAACGGAGAGAAAGAGGGAGTAGGAGAGAGTGAAGCGGGAAATGAGACAGTATTAGGGCAATCATAGAGAGAGACGATTCTGACCACTCAGCACTTTCTCTCTCTCTCTCTCTCTTTAACCCACATACACACACACAGTTACACACACACACACACAGAGTGAACAGTAGCTGTCTTGTCTCATACTGACAGGAAAGAGATGAGGGCTGCGATCCATTTTAAATTCTCGCTACGTCTCAAGTTGTCTTCTCTCCTTTCGCCCGAGTGTTTCCTTACTTCCAGAGGCCAGAACAGAGGTGTGACGACAAACTGTTAATCTACAGCCATAGGCAGGTTCCTGGAGGGTCCCTATGTTGGAAAGGAAGCAATTACACCTGCTTTTGGCCATCTGTCTTGTAGCAGCGCTGAAATCTCTGAGGACAATTTTGTTTCTTAATAGATTCTATTGATTATAAGTCATGAAAATAAACTGTCTCGCAGCAACCTCTCATACAGTTTGTGAGGTCCTGCTTTCACTGTTGTCCCTGTCCCTGTCAGAAGTTTGCAATATGTGTCTGAAAGAAATTCGTGGACATTAATTTTGTCAGTAGAGTGCCGTGGAATGTGAGAAGATATAAAAAGAAGAGCTCCGGTGTTTTACAGGCAGAGGAGCGTGACTCCTAATGGGAAGGAGCAAGTATTTGAAAAGGAATTAGTACTTAGTCTCCACAGTGGAAGCATTCATTCTCACAGCTGCATTTCTGGACACACGGGTTTGTGTGTGTGTGTGTTTGCATGAATGCATGTGTGCAAGCTTGTGTGTGTGTGTGTGTGTGTGTGTGTGTGTGTGTGTGTGTGTTTTCATTCACCATAGTAGCTGCTATCTATGATTGCAATCACCTCCCCGGAATAAGAATATCATAGCTGAACTGCATCTTCAGGGTCTAAAAGGCTTATTTCATATCTGAGCACGGTAGTTAAGAATTGGGAGCTGTGCGAATTATATATACTGGATGTGACATTGATGTTACCTCCCAGTGGCAATGCAGCACCGTGCTTCATCTGACTCCAGTAAAATCTAATCGCAGTAATAATGAACATATTCCTTCGGGTTAGAAAATGTCCTGAAATGTATACAGTGTGTCTGTAATAACCTGACCTGTTTGTATCTATAACTCCCTCTGGCTCTGTCACCTCATTCCCACTTTTCACAGACAAATAAGATGAAACCGGAAACATTTTTAAATACAAATACACGTAACCTTGCTGTAAACTCAATCTAATTTCCTTCATTTGTTTGACCTCATTTGCTTTGTAGATAAATCTCCTCATTTCCTGCGTCTTGGGGACGTGGAGGTGAACGCCGGACAGAACGCCACGTTTCAGTGCATCGCTACAGGACGAGACACATCAAACAATAAGCTCTGGCTACAGGTATGGCTATAAAACATGCATGTATACACACACTTAAATGCAAACTATGTTTTAGTCTACTGTGATGGGATGAACAAGACATGGCAACATTTCTTAGGAGGGTTTCACATCAGGGACCCGGGTGTACTTGACCCCAAAGTTCAGCTTGTGGCAAGATACGTTGATCCATGGTCTCGAGTGTGGTTCAGGTGTAATCTGGTAGGCACAGACAGAACCCGACTTCAAACAGCAGCTCCTCCTTTGGCTACAAGCAGAGCTTCACCTTGCTGCTCCGCCGGTCCCTGCTGATGACAGTCCCAGGGGCAACAGTGTCTGTCGGTGGCGCCCTTTTCGGCACTGTCGCACAACAAATATGCCACATAGGAATGGAACATTACTAATGTGAAAACTCAGAGGTGGGGGAGTTGAGTTGATGGGTCAGTTGTCCTCGGGCACAGCATGAATCAGTCATTCGCTCTTACTTACTCTTGTGGTGTCTAGCCTTGAGGATAGCTTTAGTTTTATTTGCCCAAGTTTTAAAATATTTGTTTCTGAGGTTTCGTTTCTAAGATTTCATTCCTTAAAAAACAAAATGGAGGTGAACAGACTTACAGTGTGTCGGATTTAGGGGCCTGTTTCCAGCAAACACGTTCGGTGTGGTACCTTGGGAACCAAAAGTAACCCTTCAGACATGATGTGAGTCTGCACCTCGTTTATCGTCCACAGAACGGGGTTGCATTTTCAGAACAAAATAAAACAGACTGCAGTGTTTACAGCTCCACCTTTTAGTAACAGATCTTTTTGCTGGGTACCCCAACAGAAGAAGGGTGACCAAAGATAGGGACAGTACGGGATGTTTCATTGGTATTATCCACAACTTTTCACAGTGGAAACGAAAAAAAAAAGGCATACCGAACTGAACTGTGCTGCACTGTTAGAAGCTAACACTAAAGCTGACACATTGGACCTTTGACTTGTGTTGCTCACAGCACTGAAAAATAAAATTTACCAGCATCTCCTCGTCCAATAATGGATTATCACCAGCTATATAGTCACTAGATGATCCAGAAAACACAGTGTAAACAGTTTTCATTGGAACTACTATCAACCAAAAGAATATTCCTTAAATTTTTAATGGTGTGAGCACCACCAACTGAAATTGGCAGATATCACAAAGACGGCTATTTCAGAAACTGGGCAAATAAAACCAAAATCTACATGGCGAGATGCCACGAGAGGCATGTGAGAAAATATGTTTGCTTGTCATTTGGGTGAACCAGTCTTTAATATGAGACTATTCATCCTTACTGACAAATAAATAATACAAAACACAAATAAATATATGAATGCCCCCAGTATGATGGTGTAGAAATAGACAAACACAAAGAAATGAAACATTGTGTTCAATGTGCCGCCCTCAGGACTGGTTCATCCAATAATAAAGAGTCATCCACACACACACACACACACACACACACACACACACACACACACACACACAGAGCGACCCTGGGCCATACATCCTCGCAGCTAACATGATTAAGAGTTTAATAGCTGCTGATTTCATTATGGCTCTATTGTAGTCATGACCTTCAAACCTGCTGTCAGTGAGGCAGAGGGGAAGTGTGAGTATGTGTGTGCGCACATGGGCATGTGTGGTCCAGTGCTGCCTTGTGACCTTGAGCCAGGCAGTTAACCCTTTACCAGCCTCTGTAGACACACCTGATATCTGTCTTTTTCTGTGATTCAGAGGAGAAATGGAGAAGATATTCCCGTGGCTCTGACCAAAAACATCAACCACAGACGCTTTGCCGCCTCCTTCCACCTCAAAGAGGTCACTAATCAGGATCAAGATCTGTACCGCTGCGTCACCCAGTCAGAGCGCGGCTCAGGGGTGTCCAACTTTGCGGGTCTTATCGTCAGAGGTGAGAATTGGAAAAAATATTGTCAAGGTTATTTGATTGTCTTGTGTGATATTTTGTTATCTCTGTAATACTTGTGTTTACCCTTTGTTTTCTCTGATTTAATATTTGATACCTCAGTTTTAGTATCGCTTTCAATCAAAAGTAACAAAGGTGCATCACTTGACTGTTTGCTAAGCCCCACCCCCTTTAGGCACTAGTGCTATAAGTTTGATAAGGAAGATGAGTCTTATTTCATTCTAATATCACACTGTTTAGCTGATTAGTTTTTATCAGAACAACCAAGACACGTTAGGTGTATGCCTTTTTGTTATATTCAAACAATACATTTCACTTTAACGGTGTTTCGGTGTCTAGAATGATGGTAATGGTAATACTGAAGTGTTATCTCCCCCACATCCAATAAAAAGCAGTATGGAGACGCCAACGTTAGCTTTAAATCATCCAGGACCAACTACCACACAGTGACTAATGCTACTCAGGGAAAGTGATGTTGTGAAAATAATGTGAAACCCCCAAGAACTAGCAGGGGACGATGAGAAAGATGCCTCCTGTAAGAACAAAGTCAATTTGCTAGAGTAGCCAATTTTGTTTTGATAGCACAAAAATGAAAATCTTGTAAAGGGGCATCCTTGCTCCAGTGCTCCAAGGATGACATTTTTCTGTAGGCTGAAGCGAAAGTCAGCTTTGCCCTGGTTCTCTCGTCAAAAAGCCAATGGGATTTTTCTATTGAATTTTGGATTATTGCTCTGTGTCAAACAAACGTTAATGATACTTACACGTTTTGTTCAGCAAATTAATCTCCACAATTGAACAACAGTTTATGATTTTTGAAGCCTAATTTCAATCGCCAAAAGTGAAGCACCTCATTAGGTTATAAATGAACTACACCATGGTCTCATAACATCAACATCACCACCACAACGAGGCTTTCGAGCCGTGTTCAGCATAATGACATTCTGTAGACTCATTAAGGCACTTGTTAGCAACCATTTTTTAAGACATATTAAAGCTTAAGAATTCACGAGTGGGGTATTTACTTACGTATTTTTTGTTGTAGAACAAAATGTGAACCACAGACCTTATTTCAAGCATCTAACCAAAAACCCATTTAAAACCCGATTGACTTTGAGATAAGGGAACCAGGAGTGCTAAAATGCTAACTAATTTTCATGTTTCGGGACTTTTTGGGTCCTGGTCATGAAGCCCTCAAGCTCAAAATAAACTAACTAGCTGACTAAAACAAACTAAAATCCCAACTATAACCCATGTGAGGATTATCCAGAACCCTTGTAGCCTTTTCTTCAAGCTAGTCATTTTATTTCAGGGTGACTTTCTCCAGTTGGCTTGCTAAACATGTTGGCTAATTCTTGATAGCAGGCAATGCTAATTGTTGCTAATAATGCCAGCAATTTACAATACTATAGCCTACTACCTCTATATGTAGATATGTAGCCGTCTATATAAAGCACATATGACTATACTATAAAATCTAACTAAATAATTTCTTGAGGGAGGACGCCCCAAGGGGTTTTCGCCCCCATTCTGACATGCGTCTTGCCCCAAGGGTCCAACTTTACATTTCAACTTCAAAGGAGAATGCTTTTTTTTTCTTTGAACCAATTGAATGACTCCTCCCACATCCTACCCCGGGGGTCAACTTCTGCCGTCTTATCCTAGAGTTAGTTTATGATATGCCACTCTTGGCCTCGGAGGTGAACGCTAGGTCACTCTTGCTGTTTATAGTAAGCTACTAGGCAGACATGCTAATGTTCAGCTTATGTTAGAGCAAACAACCACACTGTTAAATCCATTCCCTACACTTTTTCTTATGTGTCATTTTTCAAAAGCAAAACATAAATAAATGATCACTCCACCATTTTGAGAAATCCAAACCTTGACAGACCCTTCGTGCCTAGTTACGGTTGCTACGCTAATTTTGATCATGTTACGCAGATTGATTTAGCATCTGGTCAGTTATAAAGTTAATCTGAATCTTTTCCATGACCCTGATGTTGACCAAATTATTATTTTCTCGACCCAGTTATATGTATTTTGTGTTTTGGGTAACTTTGCATTGTGTTTCACTTTTGGAATGTCAAATGTCTCTCCAATCAGATGTGCATTCACTGTGTCTGACTGATAAAATGTAAGTCACTAACACAATATAGGCTAATGAGGAGAGTTTGTGTTTGAGTGTATGTAGATGTGTGTATGTTTGTGCGTGTGTGGGCTTGTGTGCAAATGCTCTGTGTGTGGGTGTGTGTTTGCGTGTGTGGGTGTGGAGCAGCTGCATCAGTGTCTATGTGTGCACATGTGTACGCTGCAAAACGTGTGTGTGCGTGAGTGGAAACGGTGTGTGTGCTCCAGCTGTCATGTGCAGCTGACATGTGGTTAATAAGGTGTCACCAATGTGTGTTTGAGACGGGATGCTTTATTCATTCACATCCAATAGCTTACATATTCAATTCATCTCCCAGAGAGAGAGAGACAGGGGAGGAGGGCAGAGAGAGGGTGAAGGCGAAAGAGATTCGGAAAGAATGATAAGGGGGTGACAGAAGGGGGGGGGGGGGGGGGGGGGGGGGGGGGGGGGGGGGGGGGGGGGGGGGGGGGGGGGGGATATGTGAGACAGAAGAGGGTGAGTAAAGAGAGGAGTGGAGATGGTGAAGAAAAGTTAAATGTAAATAGACTGCTCATTATCTCAAGAATATCCATATCAGAATCAGGAATATGTCTGAATATGTAAACAGCTGAGCATAGTTATGTTTATTATTCTGCATAAGAGATGGCAGAGGGGAAGGATATGAGGAATCAAAGCAGAGACGAGCACCATGAATATGAATTTTGTTCTGGTGTGGCTCAGATAATGGAGCTCTTACACTGTCCAGTTTAGGGGTTTGGCCCTTTTCGTCACTTGACGCCAACACTGGTGCGGTTAGGGTTACAATCCCCACTGGGAATGTTTTTATTTTGGTCAAGAAAATGCGCTGGTTTCGTTTTCTGCAGGACCTCGCTGATTTAGTAAGAATACATAAGTGGCTAATGTTTATTTATCGTGAACATCTTTTTTTGAATTTGAGAAGAGGAGAGGGATGAAGGATCCGCTCAGCAGGAGACATGTGTCTAAACATGAATAGGACCAATCTACATATATGAAAATAGATTCAGGTTCAATAAGACGCACTGAGCACCAGGCGTCTCGTTGAAAACCAGCCGCTTTCCCAGTCTGTGAAAAGATGCGTTTGGAGCTCTGAGGGATATTGCCGATTATAAATATTGATCCAGAATCTGGTTGTTAGAAAGACATCACAATAAAAGAATGAGGCCTGCATGTATGAATGTGGAAGGAGGAGAGCCTCATGTTTATTTATTAGAAATATCAGATGGGAGATGAGAGCCAGAGAAAAATCAAAGGAACAGGGAATATGTTTATTTCACTTCTTGAAAAGTGTGCATGTTGGAGATTTGAGGTTCTTGCAGGACATTGACGACCATGAATATGGACAGAGTTAAGCTGCATTATTAATATTTTTGCTCTGAATATCTTTACTTAAATATTTATTTATGGTTAAATTGAAGAGAGAGGAGGAAGATGAGGGATGATTACTGGAGGAATCATATATCTGGTGCGCATGTGACAAACAGGGAAATGAAAGAAAGAATCATGGGAAAGTGCCAAAATATGACTTGTATAAAAAATGTTTGGCAGTAGGACAGTAAACCCAAGTTTCATATTCAAAGCCTGAAAAGTGGTCTGCTGGGTGATGTGAGATTGCCTCAGTGCAGGTACACATAGGCAAAGTCTGTTGATATTTATAACATGTAGATGACAGAGATGTGCCATTATTGTCTCCCTCTGTGTGTGCTGGAGCTGTCAAGATCAGAGAAAAGAAGCACATTTTGTGGAGGCAGAGGGGCATCATGGGAGCATGAGAAGTGTGACGTGATTCCCAGATTATCAGTCACTCCAGGATATTGCAATATTGCAATCACAACAGTTAACAAAAATTCAGCTAATCCCTGTGCATTCTTTACAACTTAACAATTTTGTCCAGTCACCTCAACTTACTACCAAAATGATGTCTGTGTAGGAGGGACAGCTGGCAGGACAGGACCATGGGTCAGGTTTGACAGTTTTACATGTTAGGTGTGCGACCCAGCACTTGTAGAATTACAAAGCAGCTGCAAACAGTTAGCAGCTAACTCAATCTGTGTAAAAATGCAAAGGCAGCAAAAAAGGGAATTTGGCCCTATAGCTTGATCTCTGTATATAAAAAGCTAGTGACAGGGCTAACTATTAGCATCACGTGGCTAATGTTGCTCAACAGTTATTAATGGGTTTGACAACAAAGTTTCAGTGTTGGATGTTAACAGCAGCAACAGCAGATGCTTGAAAATCAGACAAAAGACATTACCCCTTTTGGCAGCGAGCTAGTTATGACCTGGAGGTATGACGTCAGTTAGCACAAATGATTATTTTGATCAAATGTATGTTTCCACAGGCAGAAATCTGCTGAAATTGAGGTTTGTACAATAATGTTTCCCCTCTTCTGCAGGACTGTGGTAGTATTCATAAGAAACCACAAAATCAGTTTTTATATATTTCTGCACAGAATTTTCAGATGAGGACACGTGCTTGGTGTGATGATCATTTAGCTGCTCAGCAGTTCACTAGTTTGTTCAGTCCTTCAGTTTCAGAGCAGAGAACACTGCTTATTTTTTCCACAATTTTGAAACCTAATGTTATGTGCTTGGCAATTTTTAAAAATCATTCAAATTTGGCTGGATGGTTAATAACACATTTTTCTGTGGTGTGACAAAATCAGAACACATATTTATTTTTGCTTTACCAGGACTTTAATTAAACTGTCAATTATTATTATCTTGGCTTAGAAAAATGTACTGACCACAAGGTGACATCTTCAGATTGCTTGTTTTGTCCAAAATTAAAACATATTCAGTTCATAGAAAGCTCTGGTATTCAATTAACAAACAGCAAATAG